TCCCACCCACCCTGGCCAAAAGGTGGCTTCACTCTTGAACCTCCCCTTCTTTCATTTCCACACCCCAACAGCACCTAAACTCTGCTCGTTCTAACTTAGAAACAACTCACAAATTGGTAACGTGTCCATCGAAAATGCACTAGGCTGAAGGGAACAGAGGAACAGATGGTGGCTTGACCAATGACCAAGGTTTTTTGTTTGTTTGTTTGTTTTACCTAACAAGAAGTCCAGAAGCAGGCAAAGCTGGTCCTGCAGCTCAGTGACTCAGGACACTCAGCCCAGGTTCCTTTGGTCTTCATGTTTTTGCCTCATAGATGCGATGAGGCTGCCATAGGGCCAGATGTCGCGCCTGCGTTCAGAGCTGCTCTCTAGAGAGGGGACCATGCCAGGCTTATCTATCCTGCTGGGTCAGGAGAGAAAACACTCTCAAGGGTGTCTCCTCGCACCTAATTTCCCTTTAGACCTCACTGGCCAGAATTGGTCACGTGGCTGCTCCTAGTTGCAAGGGAGGCTGGAAACAAGAGCATTTCCTTATGTGTGGCTCAGATGAGCTCTCTCTTAGGGGCCAGGCACATTGCTGTTTTGAACCGAAGTGGCCCTTGGTTAGCCAGGAAGAAGCAGGTATCAGGGCCTACCAAGGGCGGGGGATGTCGGCTACACCATGGACGCTGCCTCCTGCACGCGGCCTGCGGCCCGTGTCAGGTGCTCACCAGGGTCTCTGCTCCTCAGTGACTTTGAGCAGCTTCCGGATGATGTCGCCATCTCAGCCAACATCGCCGACATCGAGGAGAAGAGAGGCTTCACCAGCCACTTTGTAAGAGACACTCTTCACCTCTGACCTCTGGCCCTCCGCCCTCTCTCTGCCTCTGAGCCTCCTCCCTGGCCTCTGATCCCACCCTTTGGCCTCCGTCCTCCCCAGGTTTTCGTCATCGAGGTGAAGACAAAAGGGGGCTCGAAGTACCTCATCTACCGCCGCTACCGCCAGTTCTACGCCCTGCAGACCAAGCTGGAGGAGCGGTTCGGTCCGGAGAGCAAGAACAGCCCGTTCACCTGCAGCCTGCCCACGCTGCCAGGTAGGCCGCCGGCCCGTGCCTGCCGCCTGCCCACTGCGCGCCTGTCCTCCCGGCCGTGCTGACACTGCCAGGTGGTCTGTCTCAACCCCACGTGAGAGCCATGGCCCCCTCCAGCAGTCCAGGCTGCCAGCTCCCACCCCAGCTCTGGACATCACCCAGGACCTTGCCCTCCGGCACTCTGGCCTCGCAGCCTGTACCTTAGCTACCTTGACAGCCGCCCTGCCTCGGCCGTCCACCACGGAGGAGGCCACAGGTGGGGCACACCCACGGGCCTTTCTTCCTCAGGGACAGGAATCCTCGCATCTCCCTCTCTGGACACACCACCTAATCTTCCATCTCTCTCTCCTCCCTCGAGGCCACTCTCTGTCACACGGAGCTCCTGTGGCTCCCTGGGGGTCCCAGTCCTCCCCTGTGCTGTACTTGCTGCTCGCTGATGGTCCCATCCCCCTTGCGTCCTCGTCCTCAGCTCTGGCTTGGTCCGGACGCGCTCCTGGGGCAGCTCCAAACCTCTGGCTTCTTCGCTCCTGCCCTGGCCCTGAGCCCTGCGGAGAAAACGCCACATGAGCCGGGTGGGGAGGATGGCTCTGGGTGCCCCCCGGGCCCTGCAGGGCAGGGTCCACCACCCCACACAGGCGTCTACCATCCTGCCCCAAGCCCGGAGCTCCTTCCAGACCTTCCCGCTGCTGAGCTCCAGCCCCGCCTTCTGCCCAGCTTCTCTCTTCTTCAGCCAGGCCCCCACTTCTCATCTCCTCCTTCAGTGCCGTGCCCCTCACACCCGCCCTCCGCCCTCCCCCGGCTGCAGGCGGGGGTGGGGGGGAGCTCACCAGCTCTGAGCCGGCGCCCTCTCGGGCTCCATCTTTCCCTCTTCCCTCTCTGGGCTTCCCTGACGACCTGCCCCGTTTCCTTGCGCCCTGGCCTTGGCCTTGAGAAGTCGACCGCCTCAGCCTGGGCTCTCTTCTGTCTCGGACTGCACGGCTGTAAAGACACACTCTTGTAACCAGCCGCCCTGAGCCTGTGTCCCAGGGCTGTCAAAGAGCTCCCTTTCCTCCTCCTACAGTAAATCTGCACTTGCTGTCCCCCTTCACATCTCCTCAGCCCCCTGGGGTTGGTTTCTGCTCTTACTGCTCCACAAATCCCTCTCGGCACCGCGGGCCGTGACCTGTTCATTCTGATTCCCGTGGGCACCTTGCTTCAGGCCCTCGTCACCCTCCTCCTTCTGGTGCAAGAAGTGGCACCTGCGTGTCCCAGGTCCCTTCTGGCTTACTGGCTCCTCCAACCTCTCCCTCACCAAATCCACCTTCCCTGCTCCTTGGAAGGCGGGTGTTCTCGGCCCTCCTCTGTCTCGTCCTCCACTCCTAACCGGCTGCCACCTTCCCTGCTCCTTGGAAGGCGGGTGTTCTCGGCCCTCCTCTGTCTCGTCCTCCACTCCTAACCGGCTGCCACCTTCTTGCTACTAACTCCCAAATGTCTAGCTCTAGCCAGGCCACACATGCTACCCTCTTGTCACTACCAGACACACCCCTGCCTGGCTCACGGGCCCTGGGAGCCAGGCAGGTCCCTTGTTTATCTCTTGGGGGTTCCTGGAGGCGACATTTGTCTCCTACCTGGCTGTCGTCTGTGTCGCTATCCCAGCACACTCTGCCTGCTTTCAGTCCATCGGTCTGCTCAGCACACGGGCACTGGCCTGTGGTTCCCGACCTCAGTGGCATATTGGATGTAACTTGACTTAGAGGCTGCCGATGCCCGAGTCACCTTCGAGGTTCCAATTTCATTTCTCTGGGTTGTGTCCTACACAATGAGACTTCAAGACAAGGCCTCACCCCTCCTACCTCGGCCTCTTCTGGAGCTGGGACTGCAGGCCCACCCCATCGTATGGGGCTTTTCAGGGCATGCCAGAATCTAACCTGGGGCTCCCATGCGACCTTGACCTGCAGGGTAACAGTGTCCACCAGCATGGGGCCGCACAGTGAGATTGGGTGATACGGGCTCCTTGGGTGACGTGAATGTGAAGCTGGGGTGGAGGACCCATCCTTGGTGATGGGACGTAGGGTGGTGGAAGGACTGCCACCAATCAGAGCCACCCAGGAAAGAAACAGTGTCCCTCATGAGATAGTGAGCTCCCCAGCACTAGAGGCCTGCAAGCCATGGCTTGATAGTGACCACAGGAAGCTGATTAAGAGGCAAAGCAAGCCAAGGCCCTGTTCTCTTAGAACTAGGAATCATGCATGCATGCATGTTTGTGTACACATGTGTGCATCTGTGTACACATGTGTGCATGTTTGTGTGTGCATGTGTGTTTGGAGGAGCAGGCAATAAACAAACAAGTGAAACACGAGACACATCAGCTGGTGACAGTGCAACCCAGACAGTGCAGCTTCGATGGTGGGACGGTGTCCGAGGGGCCGTGTGGATGCCATGCAAAGGCGAAGGGGAAGGGTGCAGAGCCGGCGTGGTGGGGCTCCGCCAGGGTGCCTGGTCTACAGGAGCAGCCCTGCGCCCCTGGCCTCGTTGGGCCAGGCTCCTGGGACAGCTCTTTGCCTCTCCTCAGCCAAAGTCTACGTGGGTGTGAAGCAGGAGATCGCCGAGACGCGGATACCCGCCCTCAATGCCTACATGAAGGTATCAGCCGGCCGGGCCAACCTGCTGCCGGGAGGGCGGTGGGGGAGCTACCACTCGCGGCATGGCTTTGGGAACTGGCTGGGGCGCCCGC